AGAGAGATGTGGCAATCTGCTTCTGTAAAGATTTACAGCCTTGGAAACCCTATGGAGCAGTTCTAGTCAGTCCTATAAAGCCACTATGAGTCATAATTGACTTGATAGCAGTTGGATTGGATAGATTGCGTGCCAGAAACCATGTATTCCATCTCTTATACATGCCATTAGAGAGTTCTTTTAGTTTTGTATATGTTTTGAACAGAATACTCAAAAAAGAATAATTATTTGCTTGGCTTGCCATTTAATAAGCAATAACTTAAAAATCCACCACTTGTCTGTTAGTTTGTCATACTGTGGTGGCTTGTGTGTTGCTGTGAGGCTGGAGGCTATGCCACCACTTTTTCAAATACCAGCAGGATCACCCATAGTGGACAGGTTTCAGTGGAGCTTCCAGACTAAGACAGACTCAGAAGAAGGAAGGGACCCCCCATTTCTCAAATAGTTGGCCAGTGAAAACCTTATGAATAGCAGTAAAACACTGTCTGATATATTACTGGAAAACTTTATGCATAACCCTAAAACATTGTGCAATATAGTGCCAGAAGACCAACCCCTTAGATTGGAAGGCACTCAAAATATAACTGGGAAAGAGCTGCCTCAGAGTAGGTCCTTGATGTGAATAGAGTAATGCTTTTGGGACCTCCATTTACTGATGTGGCATGACTCAAAATGGGCAGAAACAGCTGGAAGCAGCCATTAATCATTGCAACATGGAGTGTATGAAGTATGAATCTAAGAAAATAGGAAGTTGTCAAAAATGAAATGGAACGCATAAAGATCAATATCCTACAAATTAGTATGGTGAAATGGACTGGATTGGGGCATTTTAAATCAGAGAACCATATGATCTACTATGCCAAGAATGACGTTGAAGAGGAATGGTATGGCATTCATTGTCACAAAGAATGCTTCAAGAGATGTCCTGAAGTACAGTACTGTCAATGATAGGATAATATCCATACACCTATAAGGAAGACCAGTTAATACTACTGTTAATCAAATTTACACACTGACCACCAAAGACAAAATGAGGAAATTGGAGATTTTTACCAACTTCTGCAGTCTGAAATTGACCAAACATGCAATCAAGATGTGTTCATTATCACTGGTGATTGGAATGCAAAAGGTGTAAACAAAGAAGAATCACTAGTAGTTGGGAAAGTATGGCCTTGTTGATAGAAATAACACTGGAGATCACCTGACAGGATTTTGCAAAAGCAACGACTTATTCATTGCAAATTCATTTTTTCTACAACACAAATGACGGCTCTACACATGGACTTAACCAAATGGGATACACAGGAAAGAGGTGATGGAGAGGCTCGATATCTTCAGCCAAAACCAGGCCAGGAGCTAATTGTGGAATAGACCATCAATTGCTCATATGCAAGTTCAAGTTGAAGCTGAAGACAATTAAGTCCACAAGACCCAAGATATGACCTTGATTATATCCCTCCTGAATTTAGAGACTATCTAAAGAATAGATTTGATGCATTGGACACCAGTAACCAAAAAACCAGATGAATTGTGGGATGACATCAAGAACATCATCCACAAAGAAAGCAAAAGGTCATTGAAAAGACAGGAAAGGAAAAAAGACCACAATGGATGTCAGAAGAGACTCTGAAACTTGCCCTTGAGTGGAGAGTAGCTAAAGCAAATGGAAGAAATGACAAAAGAGCTGAGCAGAAGATTTCAAAGAGCAGCTCCAGAAGACAGAGTCAATTATCATAATAAAATGTGCAAAGACCTCGAGTTAGAAAATCAAAAGGAAAGAACACACTCAGTATTTCTCAAGCTGAAAGAACTGCAGAAAAAATTTAAGCCTCGAGTTGCAATCTTAAGAGATTCTATGGGCAAAATATTGAATGATGCAGGAAACATCAAAAGAAGATGGAAAGAATACACAAGACTCACTGTACTAAAACGAATTGGTTGATGTTCATCCATTTCAGGAGGTGGCATATGTTCAAGAACCAATGGTACTGAAGGAAGAAGGTGAAGCTGCTTTGAAGGAATTGGCAAGGAACAAGGCTCCAAGAACTGATGGAATACTCATTGAGATGTTTCAATAAATGGATGCCATGCTGGAGGCACTCATTTGTGTATGCCAAGAAATTTGGAAGACAGCTACTGGCCAACTGACTGGAAAAGATCTATATTTATACCCATTCCAAAGAAAGATGATCCCACAAAATGTGGAAATTATTGAACAATATCATGAATATCGCATGCAAGTAAAATCATACTGATGATAATTCAAAAATAATTGCAGCAGTATATTGACAGAGAACTTCCAGAACAGTAAACTGGATTCAGAAGTGGATGTGGAATGAGGGATATTATTGCTGATGCCAGATGGATCTTGGCTGAAAACAAAGACTATCGGAAAGATGTTTACTTGTGTTTTATTGACTATGCAAAAGCATTCCATTATGTGGATTGTAACAAATTATGATAGAAAGGATGGAAATTCCAGAACACTTGAGTGTATTCATGAGGAACCTGTACATAGACCAGGAGGCTGTCATTCGAACAGAACAAGGGGACACCGCATGGTTTAAAATCAGGAAGGGAGTATGTCAGGGTTGTATCCTTTTACCACACTTACTCAATCATACACTGAGCAAATAATCTGAGAAGCTGGACTGTATGAAGAAGAGCATGGCATCAGGATTGGTGGAAGATTCACTAACAACCTGCAGTATGCAGACGATACAACTTTGCCTGCTGAAAATGAGGATGACTTGAAGCACTTACTGATGAAGATTAATAACTTCAGTCTGCAGTATGGGTTACATCTCAACATAAAGAAAACAAAAATCCTCACAGTTGGAGCAATAAGCAGCATCACAATAAATGGAGAAAAGATGGAAGTTGTTGAAGATTTCATATTTCTTGCTTCCACAATCATCACCTATGAAAGCAGCAGTCAGGACATCAGATGACGTATTGCACTGGGTAAATCTGCTGCAAAAGACTTCTTTAAAGTGTTGAAGAGCAAAGATGTCTCCTTGAAGGTGCGCCTAACCCAAGCCATGGTATTTTCAGTAGCCTCATATGCATGTGAGGATCTCTGGTAGTGTAGTGCCTAAAGCACTTGATTGCTAATGAGAAGGCTGGTGGTTCAAACCCACCAGTCACTCCTTGGAAGGAAGGTTGGGCAATCTACTTCCATAGTTATACCACCTCAGAAACCCAAGGAGGGGTCGCTATGAGTCAGGTCCGACTCCACGGCATGTAACAGCAACAACAACAACATGATGTGAGAGCTGGACAATAAACAAGGAAGACCGAAGAAGAGTTGATGCTCTTGAGTTGTGGTGTTGGCGAACAGTACTGAAAGTACCACGGACTACCGAAAGAACGAACGGATCTGTCCTGGAAGAAGTGCAGCCAGAATGCTCCTTGGAGGCGAGAATGGCCAGACATTGTCTCACCTACTTTGGTCACATTGTCAAAAGGGACCATTCTCTGGAGAAGGAAGAGTATCATGCTTGGTAGAGTGGAGGGTCAGCGAAGAAGGGGAAGGCCCTCAACAAGATGGATTGACTTGGTGGCTGCAACGGTGAGCTCAGATATAGCAAGGGTTGTGTGGCTGCCATGGACTGGGCAGTGTTTATTTTGTTGTTTACAGGGTCACTAATAGTTGGAGCCGAATCAACAGCACTTAGCAACAACAACAACTTAAAAACACAAAGTACAGTGTCCTTGTATGTACTTATAGATTTTTTTATATGACTTTCCAAGATAATACATATTAAAATAATTTTAACAGCTATACCATAATCGCATAATGACTTAATAGATAAATAAGGCAAAATGGAAATAGTTAGGATAGTATGCTTGTCATCCTAAATATAATTTTTCAGTTAATATTAGATAAATTTATATGAAAATATAATTTCTATATTGTTGATAGGTAAATTAGCATAAATTCCTGAGAGGTCAGTTTGATAATGTGTATCAAAAGATTTTGTTTGACCAATCAATTCTTAGAAATTTATTATCTGGATATCTATCTGTGTGGGAATGATTAAATATGTTGTGCTAGAAACAGTTACTATGAAATATTAAAGCTATTACAAATGGTCTTTTACTAAGATAGTTTTAGTGAGATGGGAAAATGTGCCTGATAATACTTAATTAAAAAAATTGTTACTGGAAAGTATGCATAGTATAATCCCATTATTATTACTTTTTTTTCCTTTTTGCCAAAAATAAAAAATAAATTTCTTGATTATTTGTATTTTCAAAATTATATACAATAACTATGCATTACTTTTGTAATTAGAAAAAAATATTCTCTTTAAAAAATATACTTTCTATAGTTAAAGAGAAAATAAATAATGTTAGAAAAATGATTATGTACAAAGAAAAATCTTGAAATGATGGGAAACAAAAGAGAAACATCCTCTCACTCCAAACATACATACTTTTTCTAATTCTGTCAAATTTAACTTTAGATAAAATTTAGAATGGCCATTGGTGGTAACAGTACTATAATTAGCAAGTGTAATTCTAATTTAAGAATTATGATTAAATGGCTTTGTTAGTAGTAGCCATGAACAGCTTGTCTGTTTAACTTCCTTGTTTTAAAAAATTACTGAACTACAGTGAATGGACTTCTGATCAAAAATAAGCTTATATAGAGACTGCATTGTAGGCTTTCAGCAAGTGTTGGTGTTTCTTCTAAAGGTACCACCAGCTCAGAAATTTAATGTCCTTTATGACTGAAACATTAAAAATAGAAAAAAAATCACAGATCCTTCAAAATGCCAGTTTAAAATTGAAAGCACCTTTAAGCCCTTAATGATATTCATTGGGCTTTCATTCATTTTATTCATGTATATAAATTTATTTATAAAATTATTAAAGTTCCCCAAAATATAATTTTTTTCACACTTTTGGTTATTCAAATATAATTAAAAGTATTTATCTTCTAAAAGAAAGTGTTATTGCATACAGTCCAAATTTATTTGCTTTCTTAACTTTAGGTTGCTGTGGGCAGAACAGACATGGAAGACCTAGACCTCTATGCAACATCACGGGAGAGGCGATTTCGTTTATTTGCTTCTATAGAATGTGATGGGCAGCTGTTCATGACTCCATATGATTTTATTTTGGCTGTTACAACAGATGAGCCAAAATGTAAGTATATATATATATTTTTTGTTATCTTAATAATTTTTTAAAGTTTCTTTTTTTTCACCTCTAGTTTGTAAGAATGTAAATTTCAGAATACCTTGCCAAGTAATGCAGTATTTTAAAAGATAATATGCTATACAATGTTATTAGACTAATATTTCATATAAACTCACTTTCCAGAAACTTTTCAGTTGCTCCCTCTTTCTCAGTATATCTGACTAAAACATTACCTTCCTTTTGATATTCTTCGTAATAGGCTCATATTCTGCCTGTTCTTATATCCCACCTGAGCACAGTAATTCAGATTATTGGCTTTTAAATTAGACTTGGGCAAGAATTCTGCCTTGTATCTCTCTTGCATTTGTCATAGCTCCTGCACTATAAATACAGACTAGTTGTTTTTCACCTTTCCACGTATTGGAATGTTGGACAAACTACTTCCATAGTGATACTGCCTCGGAAACCCAAGGAGGGGTCGCTATGAGTCAGGTCCAATGAGATGGCAAATAACAACAACTACAACATGTATTGGAACAATGGTCCTCAAGCTTCCTGGCATTGTGTACATTCTTTGCAAATCACTTTAAAATGTAACTTAATAGGAGACAGCTGGATTTTTGTATCCATATTCATATTCAGTGTGTTTCAATATATTGTTTTATATGAAGAAAATCTGCCTAGTAGAAATAGGTAGTAAAAAGAGGGAAGACTTTTACTAGCCTTTTTCAGATAATTGTGTGTATTCTTCTTTGAAGCTCTATCAAATTTTGGTTAGTGGTAGTTTCTTAAAGGTTAGTTACAATCCAGACTCTGAAACCTTATCAATGAAATTTTTGTTATCTGTCATGTTAAAATCCATTAGTCTGTTTTACCCCTTGAGTGAATCTTTACCCTTGCATAATAACTTTGTAGCATCAATTGCAAAATATTGGTTGACTAAGTTAGGCAGATCTTCCAGTGTTAACACCTTTCATTATATAGTATTTAGTGACATCCATTAGTTTTATCACCAATCTTATCAGAAAAGACTATAATTATTAGAATAATTGTTGGTGGTATATACAAGTTTCCCAAAATTGTCAGTTTTACTTGAAAGCTCAAATTTATCTTCGGCAACAAGTATTACTAGTTGTTTTCCTTAAGCAGTAGGCTCACTTTGTTGAATTTTAAGAAAATATCTACCAAATACCTAGGTCTGAATAATCATAATTTGTATATCAGTTGTTCTTTCAAGAAAAATTCTGTTCCATGAAAACAGCTACTTCACAATTCAAGTAATCGGAAAGTGCTTTTCCTTGAGACAACCCTATTACATAGGTATACAGCAGAAGTGCTTTATGCACTTCCCATTTCATCTCACACTGTTAAATGACATGTAGTTAACTACACCTATCAAATGCCAGGTACTACACTAAGTAGGCACTGGAGATACAATGGTACGGGGAAAAAAAAGAAATGTGCTCCCCCATCATGACACAGTCAGGTGGAGGAGTCATCTCTGATCAATGAATATACAAATAAATACTAAACTATAACTATGATAAATGTCATGAAAGAAAAATACTTGATTCTGTGAGAGTATATATTTTGGGGAAGTACCCTAGTCAGGGAGCTCAAGGAATCTTCCCTGGGAAAATAAAACTCAGCATGAAAGCTGAATCTTGAAAAGAGGTAACTAGGTATATGGGAAGTTGAGAGTGTAGAATTTCAGAAGCAAGAAGCTCTATGATAAGAAGGAGTGTGATATGTTTGAGAAGTGACAGGAAGACCTGGATGTGGCTGTAGTGTGAAGATCAATAAGGAATGCCATTTTATCTCAAGTAGATACACTCCTTGGAGAGAGCAATCATGGGAGAAAGAAGGGCTGCTTATGCACAGGGAGACAGCGCAGGGGGCAGGAGTGTATGGAGGGGTGGACACAGGAAAGAGGTAACTATGGGGAGGAAGTGGGAGTGGAGCTGTTGCATTGTGGTAAACTGTGGTCAATGTCATGAGACAAAGTATATGTGAACTGCTGTATGGAAAGTGAATTTGCTCTGTAAACCTTCACCCAAATCAAAATTAAAAAAAAAAAAAAGAAGGAATGCCATATGAGATTAAGCTGGAAAAGTAGGATAAGGCCACAGTATTCAGAGTCTGTAGCTTACTTTAAACATTTTTATTATTCTTATTTTTGCCCTAAAAGTTATGGGAAATAGTAGTGGTTTAAACTGGAGTATACATAGCATATTTAGATTATGTTTTGAAAAGATCTCAGGGTGGAAAATAGAGGATCAGATTGAGTATGAGGAGATGAGAAAGTTCAAAAACTTCAACCTTTAAAAAAAAAACAAAAAAACTTCAAGCTACAGTAACCTGTAATGATGAGAGAGAAATGGAAAATTTTCAAAACTTCAAAGATGCTGTTATTGTTAGGTGTCATTGAGTTGCTTTTGATTCATAGTGACCCCATGAGACACAGTAGATCTGTCCCATAGAATTTTCTAGGCTGTAATCTTTATGGGAACAGATCACCAGGTCTTTCTGTTGTGGAACTACTGGGCGGGTTCAAACCTCCAACCTTTTGGTTAGCAGCTGAGCATTGAACTGTTGTGCTACCAGGACTCCTTTCAGAATATTAGAAGGTAAAGTAAAAAGGAGAGGGTCTAAGGGTCTGCCTGACTTAACTAGAAGGGAATACTGAAGGAGGACCAAATTTGAGAAGAAAAGCCACAACTTTAATTTTGGACAATATATATTTGAAATGCCTTAGACTTGGACAAAGGATCCATTATGCTATGAGGAGTCTTCAGAGACAGGAGAAGAAAACCGGAAGACCATGGATTAATAGACACCAAGGAAAATGGAGAGAATGGTCAATTGAGTGGTATACTACTGAGAAATTAAGTTAGATGAGGACAGAAAAATGCCCATTCATTAGAATTAGTAAGGAGTCCCCAGGAAGAACAAATTGTTAAAACATTCAGCTGCTGACTGAAAGATTGGGGATTTGAGTCCACCCAGAGGTTGCTTGGAAGAAAGGCCTGGTGGTGATCTACTTCTGAGAAAATCAGCCATTAACAACCCTATGGAATACAGTTCTACTTTGGCTCACATGGGGTCACTATAAGTTGGAATCAACTCGATAACAGTGGTTAGAACTACTAATACAAGGGTTATAAATGATCCTAAAAGTGATGCTTCAGTGGTGTGATTAGAGCAAAGCCCAGATTACAAGACTGGGTGTCAGGATAAGAAATGGAGAGAGTGAGTTTGGATGTAAAACAGAAAGGAAAGGAAAGGTAGTAGCTTGAGTGGAATCTGAAGGAGAGGCTTGATCATGCAGGATTTTGACCAGAGACTGGGAGAGGTGGCATCTAAAAGAGAGGGAGCTACAAAAGCCAAAAACATGGAAATAAGAGGTAAATAGTGTAAATAGTCCACTTCAGGGGTATATTGGAAAATAATGGAAGAAAAGGCTAGACAGATAGAACTCTTTTTTGAGAAATTCAAGTGCTGTGGAAAGAGTTGTATCACCCAGTGCTCTGATCCTTCTAGCCTCAAGAAATATTTGTTGAGTACTTACCATGTACCAGATAATTATATTTTGCCTTGGAGTTGATTGTTGATTGCTTCTGTATTATATGCCCTCTCATAATACTGTAAGTTTCCCAAGTAGAGGTACTTTGTATCACCCTTAACTCATAGAAAAGATGTTTACATCATAAGTAAATGTACAAGTATCCTATCCATTTTTATTTGATTTGATGCAATATAGTTTTTTTTATATTAATTACTCAGTTAGTACTAAGTTAGAGTTGATAAAAGCTATTAGTATATTTATAGTATATTAAATGCAATTTTGCATCAAATTCTATGATTTTTATTAAGCTTGCATCTGAAAACTTATTCTTTAAGTGATATTTAATGATTTATAATTTCATATTAGAAAAAAAAATTTATTCATACTGACTCACTGAATTTCTGCTTTTTGGTGATAACTTGTGGTGATTCTTCTACATCACTGGCAGGATAAAACTAGTTTCCATTATAAATAATTTGTGTAAGACATTTAACAACCACAATAATAGTTAATTTCTAATCAATAGTTAAAAATAATCATAAAGATCAAGATATTTATAAAGACTTTTTTTTGCAAGTGTAGGATTTTAAAAAGAAATATTTGCTTAAGAATAGAATATATTTCTTAAACTGAATATTCAATCAGTTATATATCAAAGTACCATACTGAAATTAAAGAAACAAACAAACACATTGCCATCAAATCAATTCTTAGTCATAGTGACCCTGTAGGATAGACTTGAACTGTCCCTTAGGTATACTTTTAGGCTGTAAATCTTTAAGGAAGCAGACTGCCCCATCTTTCTCCTGTGGAGTGGCTGATATGTTTAAACTAAGAACTTAGCAGCTAAGTTCTTCACCACTGAGCCACTGTTGTTGTTGTCATGTGCCATCGAGTTGTACCCAACTCATAGTGACCCCTCCGTGGGTTTCCAATGTAGTATCACTATGGAAGTAGATTGTCCAACCTTCCTTCCTAGGAGTGGCTAGTGGGTTTGAACCGCCAGCCTTCTGGTTAGCAGTCAAGTGCCTTTGGCACTATGCTACCAGAGTTCCTTCCTTGTATACAAATTAGACATATTTAAATCTTGGCATTCCTTAATAGCTTTGAAAGTTTGATTGAGTTACTTAATCTTTTGATTTCTCATTTATGGAAAAAAGCATAACAGAACACAATAGCCTAATGAGGTTTTTTTGACAATTGAATAAGATCAAATGTACTTTCTATTGTACTTGACATACACTAAGCACTTAATAAATGTTGATAGCTGTCATCATTGTAATAATCATCATCACAGTCACCTGAATTCAGAACCATGATTTTTAACAAATCTTCTATCATTTTATGGTGACATTCTGTAGGGAAAAAAATGGTGTATTGAGTAAATATTTGCATAATAATTATAGTTCAAATAAATGTTAACTGAACTATACATCTGATTATTGATTATATCTTTGTTTAAAAATCTAAAAATTTCTTGGTTTGCCTAATGAAATAGAACCTAAAAGATAAATTTCTGTTCTAGAACTAAAATCAATCATTGATTATTTTCTTAATAGTGTCAAGTTTTAAAGAAATTTATTGTTAAGTATTTCCAATATACAAGAAGGTATAAAAAAATTTAATGAACACCTCTGTACTCAACCTATAACTTACGAAATAAAATATTTCTGAAAGAATTGAAGACCTTCTCTATGCAAGTTATATTTGTATATGCAAGAATTTCATGTGAATAAGGAATTTAGAAAGTGAGAAAATCCTTTGAAGAACAATCTTAATAGCTCTTTACTCTATATTTTTAAAAAAGCTAATAGTATTGAACATGGTGACATTTCCGGCAGAATGAATGTCTTTTGTGAATAATTTACCCTGGAAATCTTGTAAACCCTACAGAACTCAAGAGTACGTCTAGCTTCCTCTTTTGATAAATAGCTTTTGAGCATTGCATAAGAACGTGTGCAATGTACTTTTTATCTGTGCAGTGTACTTTTTATCATTTAAGTTTCTTCTTTTCTTGCTGCTGTATTTTGAAAGCGATGGGACAATAAATATTGCTTACATTGTTATTTGCTGAGAGTATCTTTATGAAATGTATATGCAGTATCATGTTGTTAATTGCCATCCAGTAGATTCCAATGCATGGTGACCCCCATGTGTGCAAAGTAGAATTGTTTCAAAGGATTGTACAGCATGGTTAAATCTGAATTCTCATGTATAGATCTGTGATTTTAATCACTTGATTATGTGTGTATATAGTTTTATCAGTTTTTTGAGGGGTAAAGGAAGGGATACATGATTGTGTTGTTACTCCATAGAGAAGAAATCTTTCTCCATGTAAATCAGTTTGTCAGTTTTTAGAAACATGTTTCTTCCCTTTTGATCTGAAAATGAATTATTATTTTACAGTAAAAAAAGATTTTGCTTATCTTATAATTTGAACTTGATATATTGTTTCATTAGCAATGGTTAATGATACAGACACAAACCCATTGTCATATAGAAAAAGTATTGTTGTTATGTGCCATTGAGTCAGACCCGACTCATAATGACCCCTTCTTGGGTTTCCAAGGTGGTATCACTACAGAAGTAGATTGCCCAACCAAGTATTAGTTGTCATTGTTGTAATGTAGCTGATATAATTACCAGTTTTCTAATGCACTTAGGTTGTAGGTCTTAATCATATATAAACCTGGAGATAATTCTTGACCAGGCATTAGATATTCATAGTTTTAAAATCTGAACAAAAGAAACAGCAACATTGACTGAGCATTTATCCCAATATTATATGATTTGTTGTGTTTCGGATCTTGGGGTGTTGGGATGGAAGGAATCAATAAAAGAAAGTAATTCTAGTTATTTTATTCAAATAAAACACTCTTGTTCCAGAGATGCCTTTGATCAGTTACAAGGAAGAAGAATGGAAAACTCGACAAGAGTTTTACTGCTCTCCCTTTTATCTCTTTCTTTTTTTGCCCTCTTTCTATCCCTTTTGCCCTAAAGAAACCTGACCTATAAAGTGTGGTGCTTCATGTGGGAGGCTCGGCTTCATTTCCCAGGTAGTGCATTTCAAGTACAGCCACCATCATCTGTCAGTGGAGGCCTCCATGTTGTTGCAATGCTGAACAGGTTTCAGCAGAGCTTTCAGACTAAGGTAGACTAGGAAAAAACCCTGGTGATCTTCCAAAACTTGTTGTTAGGTGCCATTGAGTTGGCTCCGACTCACAGTGACTCTTTGTATAACAGAAAAAAACATGGCCCAATTCTGCTTCATTCTCACAGTCCTTGCTATACTTGAGCCCATCATTGCAGCCACTGTGTCAGTCCATCATGTTGAGGTCTGCCCCTTTTTTACTGACCTTCAACTTTACCAAGCGTGATATCCTTTTCCAGGGACTAGCCCCTTCTCACAACATGACCAAAGTAGGTGAGATAAAGTCTGGCCATTCTTGCTTCCATGGAGCATTCCTGGTGCACTTCCTAAAATTAGCCAGTGAAAACCCTGTGTATCACAGCAGTCTGATCCTGTTGTACACGCAGTCGCTGTGAGCTGGAGACCAACTCATTGGCAGCTAACAATAGGGAAGATGTTAGCACGACAAACAGCATGGGTAAACTTAAAATTACAATGTCTCTATGTTAAATCAGTATCTTTCGTATTGTAATATAAGTATTAAATATACATCATTTTTAATGTATTTATGTTCATAGGATGTCTAAAATGGAATGAGTTAACTTTATATATCCAGAAAGCCCCAAATTAAAATTAAAATAGTTAAGGATAATGTATTTCTCATTTGTTTGATATTACTTGTTATAGTTTATAGTATATAAAACAAATAATGTGTATAAGATGGTATCAGATATCCTTATCTTGAATTTAAAGGAAAGTCTTTAATTATATAAGCTGGGTCATAAGTTATGATTGTAGATGGTTACTGAATTTGGATGTACATTAGAGGAAGTATTTATTTTATAATTAATTTGTTTATTTATTTTAGATGCTAAAACATGGAAATCATTTTCCAAACAGGTGAGTTAAACTCTTGATATAGATTATGCATACACACTATATATTTATATTATGTGATGCATAAATAGATACGCAAATTAAATCACATCAAGATTCCATTTTTTTGCCATCTGGTTTGTCAGAAAATTAAAAAGCTGGATAATTCTAAGTGTTAGTAAATTTATGGATCAGTGGTTGGTCTCACATGTGAATGTAGATTGGTCTACCCATTTCATAAAATAGTATGGCATTATCTAATGAAACTGAAAATACATATACTCTCTATCTAGTAATCCCACTCCTGAGTTTAAATCTTAACAATAGTGTATACACATGTACCTAGTAAGTGTACACTTACCCTGTGATCCAGAATTTTACACCTGCATGTAAGAAACTCTTGTTCTATGCAAGAGAGGTACACAAGAATATCTATAGATTGTTCATGATGGCCAAAACCAAATTCAGTACAACATCAGTAGTCAAATTGATAAATTGTAATATATTCATCCAGTGAATACTATACAGCAGCAAAAGGAAGTAAGTTATAGCAAATATTTTGACTAGATGAATTCCAGAAACATAATAGTAAGCAAATAAAGCAATTCACAAAAAGTGTAAAGTATAATTTCATTTATATAAAGTTTACAAGTAGAAAAATGAAACAAAATATTGTTTAGGGATACATTTATAGGTGGTCAAGTAAAATGTAAGGTAGTGCTTACCTGGGGGAGACAGAAGGCCATACAAGAGAGGAATTCAAAGAGGCTTTCAGGTACTGGTAATTTTCTGTTTTTTTTTTTTTTAAACTGCCTAGGACATGAATACTTTTTAAATTGTACATATATTCCTTTTGTACTTTAATATGTATGATAAAGTTCACTACAAAAAATGAAAGTATTACCAAGCCAGGGAATTTCCTTATCCAGTTAAAGGAAATCCTCCAAAAGCCTACAGTAAGCATCATGCTTACTTACAAAACTTGAGAGACATTTTCCTTTAAATCATGTATAATGCCTATTATCTTAAGTACGCCTTAGCATTTTGTTGGAGGTGTTAATGCAGCATGACAAGAAAGAAAGAAGGAGATACTCTAAGGATTTGAATGGTAACAAACAATGTAATTGAGAGGAAAAAAAATTAAATACATAGACTTCAAATTTAATAAAAGTTTAGCAAGATTCCTCAAATCAGTGAACCAGAGGTAATAACATGCTTCTATAGCAGCAACAGCAATTAAAAAATGTACCTTATTGGAAAATAAGGTACATTTCACAGTAACACAAGAACTATTAGGTACTTAATGATAGATATATAATACATTACTGAGTTATATTTTTAAAAGACATGAGTAAATGGAGAAATAGACTATATTTATGGATGTTAAGCATTTTATGACAATACTTATTCTCTCCAAATCTTTGTGTAAAATCCATGCAACTTTAATAAAATTCAACAGGATTAATTATAGTGTTGACATTTTAAATTCATTTGGAAGTATAGGGTCCCCCAAATATTAAGAACAATTCTGAAAAAGAAGGACGAAAAAGAAAAAAACCTTGAGAAGAGGAAGATGATGGACCTGCCACATCTTAAGATTAATAATAGTACTGTAAAAATTAAAACAGTATTATTGCAAGAATTAAAAAAAATAGACCAAAATAATAGAAATAAAGTCTGGAAGTATAACCTTGCATATATGTGAAGATCTGTAAATCACTGGAGAAAGTATTAACCTTTGAACCATAAGTGTTGGAACAATAGATTTTTCACATAGAGGTGAATAAAGCTGATCCAAGTTACAATCATAGAAAAATAAGTTTCTGACAGATAAAATACTTATTTGTAAGAGCAAAAATTCTAAAATACTAGGAGAAAAAATGAGTACAAGAGTTTTTTTTTAGACAATACACATAAAGCAAAACTCAAAATATTGGCAAATTTTACTAAAGTGTAAGAAAAGAGAGAATACAAAACAACCCTGGTATATGTTAGAATTTAACATGAAGACTGGCTTATGCAAACTTTTAAAACTGCTGCACAGCAAAAGGTAGTATGCAAAATTAAGAGGAAAAAGTTTTGTAACATTCATTAACAGATTAAGAGAAGCAGTCTTAATTCACAAAGAACACATTTATAGCCAATAGAAAAAGAGTAATAACTGAACCAGAAATTCACAAAGGAAATTACTAGTATACCATACATATTTTAAAAGATACTCAACTTCACTAACAAAAAATATAATTTACAACTACTTTGAGAAACCACTTTTTACATATTGGCTATAAAACTTACATTTTAAAAAAATACCTAATATTCTGTGATAGATTTTGGGAAATAAAGACATAGTCTTAACACTGTTGCTGGGAGTGTAAATTTGAGTCTAACTTTGTTTGAATAGGTAGTGTGGCATGTTAGCAGTTTGTATCTAAATGTTCATTATATTTTTGGCCCAGCAGTTCCACTTCTAGGAATTTTCACTAATTCCTAATTTTATAATTTAAGTGTACAAGGATGTAAATTTATGAATAGCAAAGAATTGAAAATAACTTACATGCTCATCAGGAGAAATTTAGACAAATTATTGCACATTTGTAGAAAACAACTATTTAAAGATTTCTAAGATACATTTTAAGTGGAAAGAATTCCATAATGGTATAGATACTGTGATCTCATTTTAGTTATATATGTTTATATGCACATAGATTAAAGATCTGGAGGATATTTGTCAAAACTTTAGTGGTGCATATCTCTGGAAGGTGGGTTTCTAGGTATTGTAACCTTGCAACGTGTCTTGAAAATATAGGTGAATGGTTATGTAACTTTTAGGAGAGGAGTTGAAGGAGGTCTTTCTAAGTATCACACCATAGGCACAAACCATAAAGGAAAGGATTAAATAGATATGAGCACATAAAAAGAAAAAAAAATCTGTATTAAAAAAATATCATCATAAATCAAAAACAATTCTATAAAATATTTTCAATATCTATGACAAGAGAGATAACTAATATCCTAGTATACAAAGATATTTTATAAATTCACAATGGAAAAAAGAAATACTCCAATGGAAAGAACATGATTAGGCAATACAGAAAAGAAGAAATATAAAAAACATAAAAACATGGACAATATTAACCTCAGCAGTAAAGAAATATAAAATAAAGCAATGAGATACTGTATCAAATTGGCAGTCATTTATGTAATGAAATATCTGGTATCAGGGTGTGATTATGCACAATAATAGGAATGTAAATTATTATGACATTAATAAAGGAAAGTTTGATAGTAATAACCAAAGGTCTTAAAATATTTATTTCACAGTAATTTATCTGAAGGAAATATGACTAATAACAATAATGATTATAGCTAACTTTTACTGGATGCTTACTATACGCTGAACACTGTTTTAATCATTTTACTCATATATACTCAGTTAATCCTCACAATAACTTAGAAGTAGGTACTTTTGTTATCCTAATTTTATTGGCAAGGAGACTGAGACACAGAGAGGTTAAGAAACTTGCCCAGGGTTTGTTGTTGTTGTTACGTGCCGTCAAGTCAGACCCGACTCATAACGACCCCTTTTTGGGTTTCTGAGGGAGTATCACTACGGAAGTAGATTCCCCAACCTTCCTTCTGAGGAGTGGCTAGTGGGTTTGAACCGTGAGTCTTCTGGTTAGCAGTCAAGTGCCTTAGGCACTATGCTACCAGAGCTGGCCACAGTTAGCAGCTAATAATTTGCAGAGTCTGATTCAAAAGCTGGTGCTCCAGCTCTTAAATGCCCAACTATACAGACTCTGATTTTGTACATACATTGTGTTATTTTTCATAATGGTGAAAAAATGAGAAATAACCTGAATGTCCAACAATAGGTAGATATTTAAGTAAGTTTTCATAATGTATAGAAATGTGATGCAACCAGTGAATTGAATTGACATGAAAAGAATTGCATAGTGGTTAATTTTCTTAGTTACAATGTACTTGTGTTTAGGATTTAGCTCCAGAAATAAGGAAGGAAACTGTCTTTAATAACATAGCTGCTTTGTTTGATTGACTTTGTCTTTTGTTTATCCTAATTAATGATAATTGATAAAGAAAATAAAAATGTGAAGGTAATGCTATTGGTAATTAGGGAAGAAAGTCGATTTCTTTAGGGCAAAAGCTAGATGTGCTCCAAAGCTGAATTTGGTCAGGGGATGTTTCCAAAAACCAAACCAAACTCACTGCCGTCAAGCCGGATCCGACTCATAGCAACCCCTCCTTGGGTTTTTGAGGCAGTAGCACTATGGAAATAGATTGTCCAACCTTCCTTCTGAGGAGTGGCTGATGGGTTTGAACCTCCAGCCTTCTGGTTAGCAGTCAAATGCCTTAGGCACTACACCAGCAGAGCTCCCAGGTGATGTTTAGGTTATAAAAATTCTTGCAAGGAAAATAATTGTAGTTTTGAGTCTAAAATTATCTCCTTCCTAAATCCCTTTATTTCTTATTGAAATAAAATTATAACTTTTTCACTTGCTACACTTTTGATATAACTAAATGCCTCATAGCAGGATACATCCACATCCAGAATATAGTATATATTGTATAGCCATTAAAATGCAAATGAAGTATATTTGACAGGAAAATGTGTCCATGATATATTATGTACAAAGAAGAAGTTACAAAATAGTATGTAGAGAATGATCTAATATTTGCAAAAATAATACTATATAAATTTACATAGGAATCCCTGCATGGTACAAACGGTTAAGTGCTTGACTACTAGCTAAAAGGTTGTGGTTCAGACCTGCCCAGAGATACCTTGGAAGATAGGTCTGGTGACTTGCTTCCTAAAGTTCACAGCCTTAAAAACCCTGTGGAGTTCTACACTGTGCAGATGGGATCACTGTGAGTCAGAATCTACTTGGTGGCAGCCGACAACAACAAATGATAGAAAATTAGACTAAAAGGCGGTGCATAGAACTTTATATTGTTGCTCATCTCTAGATTACAGTTACATTTTATTTTCCATTTTTCATATATAC